CCTTAATACCATTTGGCAATGCTAAAACTTTCTGAGCTAAGTACTCAAGTTGTCTTGTGAGCTTCACAGTTCTCAGAGAGCCAAAAAAGGTTTTTAGAGTGATGTCATACAGGACCACACCTTTTGGTTTTGTAACTATGAAGAACCATTCCAAAGAACCATTTAAAGAACCTCCACATAATGAAAAGGTTCTATAGCACAGCTTCCCAGAACGTCCATACCAAGAACACTTTAGGAACTTTACTCTTGGTGATTGGGCCTCACATGGCTCTATTTAGAAGCAGGTGCTAAAAGAAAGAGTGTCAGTCACTTCTGCTGTTTTTCCGGAACACAGAGCCCCTTGGCCCTTGCCCCTCGCCCCCCACCTTTCTCCTCCGGCTTCTACACCTAAGCATGTGGAGCATTTCCTCCCATCCACGAGAATGAGACTCCAGACAAATTTAGACCAAGCTCCATGTGAAAGCTAATGCGGTTTGGACAACACGGCAGCCAACGCTTTTCCAGCAACTGCTTCGGCCTCTTTCCTGAGAGATGAGTGTGTATTTATGTAAACAGCATTGTGCTCTGTGCTCAGACTTTTTTGCTGTTAAATACATGTTCGAAGCTATGGTGGGCAGCAAATCCATGGCTCTGCACATTTTCACATGGAAATACCACTTATGTGGACGGGTCTAATCTTCTTAAATCTTGTTATCCTATATAAGCTGGAAGCCACTAAACTACACAAAAAGAGCATTACTGGTACCATTTTCCTCCGTTTATCTTCCACTCTTAATATGGACTCTCAGAGATGCTATAGAAGAACTACACTCTATCTATTCTATCTAGAACCATGACCACTCAAAAAACCATTTGCATAATTAAACCATTCTTTGCCTGGTGAAATGCTTCTTCAGATCAATGGAGAATGTGTTGTATACGGTTCTGCATAGCACCAAAAAGCGTTCCGTTATTGTGACAATATCAAGCTTGCAACAACAGAAGAACCCTTTTTGGTGCTATATGGAACCCTTTTTTAAAAAGGTTCTTTATAGAACCATATACAACACATTCTCCATCGACCTGAAGAACCATTTCGTCATGCAAGGTACCATTTAATCATGCAAACTGCCCTGTGAGTCTTCATGGTTCTTGTCTTTACTGAAGAACCTTTAAGAACCATTTTTAAGAGTGTATTTTTGGTTTCCTAAGGAAACATTCAATGGGTGGTTCTTAAAAAACCCTGTTTTTTGCTGAGCAGTAGAACCTTTATCTTATACTAATTAATACATTTCCATCTGTCTAAGCTAAGAACCATTTTGCAACATTTATATTAAAAATGCATACAATTTCCAAATTATATCATGGCCTTACACTCTAAAAAAGGGTTTTACACTTGGACATATAATTTACAAAAATCACTCCTTAAAGAACCATCCATTTAAGGGGTTCCAAAAGGGGTTCTGCTATGATACCACTCCAAAGAACCCTTTATATTTATGAAGGTAACCCACCTCCAGTTATATTGTCCAATCAAATTCTGCTGCTGTTCTCCAGAACTGTCTATATGTTAACATGATAAAAACAGCAAAAGACAGAGACAGTTTGGTAGCCTTAGTATTTTTATGTAGGCCTACAGTTGAAAATATTCAGTGCTCAAAATTAGTCTTGACTATGTTTGTTTATTTATTACTTTCTGAGTTATCATTAGTTGATCTGTATCCATCTGCAATAATCTAATAATGGTGAGCAACAATAACCAAGTTTACTAAGAGGAACTCAAAATGATTGATTGAAAACTTAAGTAAGGCAAGTAAAAGTACTCAAGACAGTGCCGAGACAAACACTAGTGTCTCTTTCCTTTATGTCAAGTGGTCTGTATTGACATTCCTTAACACAACTTGTATACAGTGTAGTGAAATGTTTCTCTTCAGGCCCCACTGTGCAGCACTCAACAGCGGCACATTAAACAGGACTACACAGAGAGCAGATACAAGATAGTGTGAGATGAGTGCAGAATATACAATAAATACAACAGACAATAAATATACAGACCAAATACACATAAATATTCATGACAATAAATACTAGACAGGACAACAAAACAATGTATATGAATGGGTCTCATATATATGTACATACACACATACATATGTATGCATGGACGTATGTAGGCTATTGTTAGTAGGTTAGTACTTAGTAGCATTTCTCTTTTGGATGGCAGCTCAAAGTCTTCTAGGCATGGAATGCATGAGTTTGGTCAGAGAGTGGCTGGTTTTAAACACTTGCTGCCATTCTCCATGGCTTCAGTACAGTATCCACTTTTCATTTAGAATTTTCAATCAACTGAACTCAAATCTTTCAGATATTTTGTTACTAAGAAACAACATTTCTTCTGAAATGAGTTTAATATTCATGTTTTCTAAATCAACGTCTATCCAAACATTTCGAGTAAAGTAAAACATGGGTTTAGATGAAAGCTTTACAGTTTGGTATTGTACAGCTGGACCCAAAATGTGAAGTTACACACTTAAAGAAGATGGCTCTTCAAGGGTTCTTTAGTAAAGGCAAAGAGTCTATTTAGAACCATGAGTTCTATAATGTGTAAATGATTCTGTGCATGGTTCTGAGGTTGATGGAGAATGTGTTGTATAGGACCTTCTTTGAAAATGGTTCTATGTAGCACCAAAGAGGGTTCTTCTGCTGTTACAATGTCAAACTTGTAACAATAGAATAGTATATATAGAATTATATACAACACATTCTCTACCAATCCGAAGAACAGTTTCACCAGGCAAAGAACCATTTAAGCATGAACTGAATAGAACTGAATAGACCCATTGCCTTTACTAAAGAACCCTTGAAGAACCATCTTTTTTAGGAATGTTAATATGGTGGATGATAATATTATGTACTTTTGAATATGATAATACATAATTTCCATAGTACTATAACAAACAAACAAATAAATTATTAAAGATAGATAGATAGATAGATAGATAGATAGATAGATAGATAGATAGATAGATAGATGGTAGGTGTCCTGTGACTACTTCTAAACACTAAGCATGTTGTTAAATGTGCTATCCTGGTGGGCAGTGGTGGTCTCGACCTCCAGAAGAGAATGTGGGAGGTGTACAGAAGTACAGAAAGGGCCCAGTTACACAAAAGCTTCATAAGTTTCGATCAGCAGGGACGTGTAGAAATATAGAAAGTCGTTTTAATCCATCATCTCTGAGCCCTTAAAAGTTATGTTGACCTCGGAATGGTCAGTGCAGCCTGTTATCTGCGCTGTTCCCGCGTAATTTCTGTTCCCGGGTGCAGGAATGAATTAGCCAGTTAGGGTTTGTGACCCCTCAGCACAAAGCCATATCCCTGGGGAATCGAACTGAGCTCATTAGCATGCAGAAGATTCCCGCCTTCACTCGGCTCCCCTTTTCCTCTCTTTCTCTCTCTCTCTCTCTCTCTCTCTCTGTCTCTCTGAGCTCGTCTGGGAGCAATGAGCGCGTACTTAGTTGTGTTTTGACTGCGTGAAAGCAGCAGCCCACTATAAGCAGACCATCAAGCAATCAGACGAGCCCCAGTGTGCGCGAGTGCGTGTCCGAGTGCGCGTGTGGGCGTGTGAATGTGTTTGTGTGCGATATGTGTGGGTGTGCGTGCGTGTGCGCGCTGTATGTGTATGAATGTGTTCTGCATTTGGCCGGTGGCTCTTGTAATTATTATCCTCTGGCTCCGGTCTCGCTCCTTGGCGGGCCGCGCGCGCGTGTGCTCCTCTCCACCCCCCTCCCGCCCCTCCTCGGAGCTCGGCGGTGCGGCCAAAGCGCGCCCCGGGCTGCCAGCGGGGATTTACTGACTGGCGCACTGCCTGGCCGCAAGCACTCCAGTTCACTCGGTTCTCACGACCTCAGCACCACAACGGCATCTCTGAACTCTTCACTGAGACACGCAGGCAGAGAGAGAAGCCGCGGAGCCCACACACTGCCAGCTACTGCTGCACTTACACGATTGTGCAAAAGCGAGCTGTTTCTGGGGTTTGTTTTGTTTTTTTTTTCTAGGCAACAGGCCCGTTTTCTGGCTTGCAGGACACTCGAGGACCTGAGAAGCGCGCACGCTTTTTAATAAGCTAATAAGTGTTATTAATAAGTGTGCACGGGGGTCTCGGAGCGCTATTATAGCTGAAAAGCGTCCCACTGAAACTTTGCTGAGATGAATCTGATGTGTGAAGTGAGTCGCTAAGTGGGTACCCGGGTGACAGGCGTGGTGGTGGTGGTGGTGGTGGTGGTGGGGGGGGTGTAAGATAATCTGAGCAGGAGGGGGCCGATCAGCGCCCACTCCTTCTGAGACACCCCCTACTATCGAAGTGCCATGTAGCAGCGATACGCCTCGCAGTTCCTCAGCTCACCGCTAGAGGGAGATGTGCTAAATATCGCACAGCAGGAGCAAACGATTTTAGGAATTTTGGTAGCTAATTTCCAGAATTTCTATAAACGGCTTAGCGAGCTAATCTTAGTCCTACAAGAAATCCTGATTGGCCTGAATGTGTTTTTTTCACTGGCTAGTTTATTCTAACAAGCTGGCAAGTGCTTTGAATAAAATGTTAATGTTCAGAAAATTAAAAAATAGCGTATGCTAATGGTGTGAGCAATCTCTCCATGTCTCTCTTCAGCCCAGCCACAATAACTATTATTGTATTTTTATAGTTAAATAGGACCTTTTCAAAGTTTTGATTACATTTTTGGAAAGAAAACATAAAACAACATCACATATCAAACTTGACTCTATCTATACAGTCATTCTAGCCTAGTCCAGGCTACGCTAGTCAGATAACATCATAGGCCTCACCAGAGCGGGGCGCGATATCTTTAGACCAATATATGAGCTGTTTAGACCAACTGCAAAAGTGAAAATGTAATGAGGAAAACTGAGTTTCATCTAAAAGCTGTTTGCTAGCAGGCTAATCCAGAAAGCTAGACTGTCGCCCATACAGGCAGATGAAAACACAAACAAACAGAGATTTTTTTTGTTATTTAGATTTATTTAGCATCAAACATAGAAATCAAAACATGACAACACTTTGGCTTGTAACAATCTTTTACAAACTTTGTACAAAACTAAATTATCTCATAAAAAAGTACTTTAGAGTGTTTTTTCTTTTTCTTCTAGGGAATTAACAGCATGTTTACAGATCAAAATCCAAATTTTGGAAACGAACTAAAGAACATTTCAACATGAATCATGTTCCAATAACAACAAGAGGAAAAAGAGGGGAGAAGGCACAGTCCCATAAAACGGAACCCAACGTTCAACTGTTCATGAGGGATGAACTGCAGGCCTGCGGCTCTACCAGGGCCGCCACACGGGCTCGCTGCTCTCGGGCCCCGCGCTGACTCCCACGGGGCTGGCGGCTCTGGCCGCGCCGTTGAAGCAGGTCATGCCCTGGACCGGAGAGGCGGCTGTGGGCGCGGCGCTGGCGTGCACGGGCCCCGCGCTGACGGCGAGCGGCAGCCCCGCGTTGGCGTAGAGCGGGATGACCGGTGCTGTGGCGGAGCCAAAAGCGGCGGGGCTGGGCACGAGGAAGGCGAACTGTCCGTCGGTGGCGGGCACGAGCTGGAAGCCGCCGAACACTTTGGGCGACGCTGCTTCGGACGGGCCTCCGAGCTTGGCGCTGGCGGGCAGCTGCGCGTGCAGGGGCTGCTGCGCGGCGACGTGCGCCTGCTGGGCCGCGTGCGCTGGGTGCGAGTAGCCGCTGGCCGCTATGACCTGCGCCAGGCATGCGGACAGGTGTCCGAGGAGTCTTGAGCGCACCTCCGCGCTCACGCCTTCGCAAGTGGACAAGAAGCGCGTCACCTCGTTCACGCATTCGTTGAAGCCCGCGCGGTACTTGCTCAGCACGGCCGCGTCTGTTGACATCGCTGCTGAGAGAGAGACAAGAAGGCAACTGTTAAGAAGACCGCGCGCGTTGAAGAAGGGGACCAAATGCAGAAGTGTGCGTGTGAAAAAGTGTGCAGTCTCGGGACTCCCTAGAACTCACCGGTCATCTGCGCGCGCTGCAGGTTCCTCAGGTGCTTCACTGTCATCTCCAGAATGTCAGCTTTCTCCAGTTTGGAGTGTCTGGAGCTCTGCAGGGAAAGAAGCGCAGCTACGTCAGGCTCGTGCATGGCCTTGTTTTTATAATAACGCACGCTCTGTAAATGCACAAAACTTATTTTAGGGCCGAACACTTACATCTTTTTTAAGAGCGTCCAGAATGAGGGTCTTCAGCTGCCCCAGGCTTTCGTTGATTCTGGCTCTGCGCCTTTTCTCCATGATGGGCTTTGAAGACTGCAAAGGAGAGACAGCATTGATTTGTATGGCTGTATGGAAGAGATGAGAATAAAGGGCGAGCAAAGCTGTTTACGCCAAGCAACTAATGCAACTACAGCAGCTGCCCATATTAGACCTCATGCATGCGAAACCAGGCCCAGCCCAGCGCTGCAGACTCAGAAACAGTCTTTACCTTTCTGTGCTCGCTGGCACTCTTTGGCTTGTCCGGCGTGTGGGATCCGCTCGCGGGGGCACCGGCGATGGGAGATGCGGTCTGTTTCTCCATGCTGTCAGCTGGCATGATTCACCCAAACCCTTTTTTCTCCGGTGAAAAACTTACAAAGACAAAATGATATAAAGTTTTGTATATTCCGTTGGAAGAGCGCGAGGTCTCAGTTTGCCAAAAAAAAACACAAGGGGAGAGCGCGAGTCCCCCACCCGAGCCGAGTGTCACGCGGAGTGCACGAGCGTGCTTGTAGGGAGGGAGTGAGTGAGAGAGAGTAAGTGAGTGCGTGAGGACTGCGCGCGCGCTGCTGCTGAGGGCGAGTGCAGTCTCTCGCGGTTGCCACACGCCGGCGGTATTTATAGCCGGAGCGCGCGCTCCCCCAGCTCGTGTGAGAAACCCTCTCTGCATTCTTTCCCACACTCGCCTCAGCCAATGGGCGCGCGGGCTCACCCACCGGGCGCGGGCCGACCGCTGATTGGACAACACCCCCGCGGGCTGTCAGTCACGCGCTGCTCAATCAGCCCTGGAGGGACGAACAACAAAAGCGGCGGGTGCAGTCGGTCTGAGCGTGCAGCGATAAGAGGAACTGAGGGAATGCGCCGGCTCTGCGCCGCGCGCCTCTGATGTTCTTGTTGTTGTTGTTGTTTTTCTTCCTTCTTCTTCTTCTTCGTTTAAAATACCTTTCCACCACGCGCTCTGCATGCATCACTCGCAGAGCAGGTCGACTCGCCATTCCTGTGCTTACAGTGCACAAACGTGGGAACTCTGGGTGGCAAATTGATCCTAGACTACAGATGCCTCTTCAATGGGTTCTTTAGGTTCTATTCGGAACCATGAGCTCTATCCAGAACCATTGCATGCTTGAATGTTTTGAGTGGTGAAATGATGGAGAATGCGTTGCATTTGGTTCTGTAAGGCACCAAAAAGGGTTCTGCCGTTGTCACGATGTCAACCCACAAGAACCCTTTTTGGTGCCATGTAGAACCTACAACATATTCTCCACCAAAGAATCAATCATGAATGCAGTAGTTCAATATAGAGCTCATGGTTCTAAAAAAAACCGTCGTCTTTACCAAAGAAGCTCTGAAAAACTGTCACTGTTTCGATTTGAGAGCGACAGGAAATTTCTTTTTTTTGTGGTTCAGGGTGCCATTAAGTGTCGTTTGAATGTGTAGTAAATCGTGCTTATCTTTGCACATCGCTGCCTTAGTTCAGTCCCCTGATCGAAGTTGTGAACTTGAGTCAAAACCCTGCTAAAAGTCTATTTAGCCAACTTTTTCAAAGTGGAAAAACTTTTATAGCGAGGATGATAACTGCCAGTTTGAATTCAAAGTGGGACACGGTGATTTAGAGTTTGCTTGCATGCCATAAAAATGTCTAATTCATATTTTACTTTCATAATTCAGAAGAGAAAAGCAGTGTTTGAGCTGTAACTGTAGTCTAAGTGGGTCACGGCGACGTGTACCGTCTTGATTCGTTGTGAACGCGCGCAGGTTGCGGTTTAAAACGTGAAGGAGAGGCCAGGCTGTTAACTTGAGGGATCCAGTTGCGCTTCAAAGGGATCAGCAGCTGTAGAGGCACGCGAGGCGGTTCGGAGCAGCACGCGGGAGTCCGATGGAACGCAGCCGCTTCATGCAAATTGGCCTCAGCACGGTCCTGATTGGCTGGATGAGCGACTCCGCATCCGTCACCAGAAGAGCGGGGGGGGCAAGGGGGGGGGTGGAGAGGGGAGGGGCGGCGCTCTGTCTGTCCGCGTGCCAGCGCGTCTGCGCGCCCGCTCGCTGCACTTCTGATCCCGCCGAGCACGTGCCGAGTTACGGGGCTGAGGGAGCGATTCCCCAAACTCCAGTCTGCTCGGGCGGCGCGCGTGCGCGCTCCCCTTCGTCGCCAAGTTTATTTTGGTCCGACAGAACTTTTCTAAACATGTTGGTTCCGAGCGGATCAGATTACAGTAGACTCGTTCATTATACAGAGATCGTGGGAATGAGATGTTTTTACTTTAGCAGAATAAACCAAAGTGTTTAAAATGTCATCTGTATTTACAAACATATAAAACAGGGCAGCTAAACTGATTTGAAAACTTAGCGCGAGACGTTTACCTTAAAACTCTCACACACCCACAGTCTGGAGCTGCAAATGTAGAAACGTTGTCCGAAGAAAGTGAACAGATTGAATCTTGTGTGATTCATTGGTGTCGAGCGCCATCTATCGACCAGGCTGAGGGATTTTCCTTTCACTGACTGTGCCTACTTCGACCACTAGGCGGAGCACTGTAAAGCCCCAATTCTGTGCGCCAAGAGCGGAATAAAAAACAAGCACAATTACACTATTGTGTATGCAAGAATGAAAAATAATACTTCTGATTGGAAAAAAGCTTAATAAATGATAATGTAAACACCATAAATGTAATTTTAATTACTCTCAAAAAGTGAACCAGCACGGCTGATTGACTCACAGACTGAAAATATTTTAAGTAAAATAAATTTCCGTTAATTCGATCTATTTATTAATGTGTCTATTTCTACAATGACGATTCCATTTCAATGAAAGACAAATAAATAAAACTGATATTTCAATTTTGTTCCATTAAACAACTGAATTTTATGTTGATAAACAGATGTTATGCAGAAAAATGGTGTCTTTGAAGATCTAAACTGACTGTGTAAATGTTCAAAAATACTTACAAAACACATCATCAATAAATGCGTATTTAAGTGGCATGTTAATAATTTATGCTATTTAAAATTAATGAAATATCAATTAACAACATTCTTATGCACTTATATAAGGTCTACATTACTAAAATAACTGTTATTTTTCGTATTAACTGATTTCGTGTTAACGTAATTTTTAAGAACAGTTAAAAACAGATTTTGTTCTTGTTTTTGATAAAGTTCAGTGAAAAATATTTTGTTTTGTTCCTTGTATCATTTTTACAGCTGAATACTGTGTCACTGGTTAAAGTGAACCATAGCACAATATGTAACAAAAAAAATATTGATGTAGAAATTAATTAACATGCCATTATCTGTGTTTCTCTAGTCCAGAAATCAAATATTAACTTCCTCTTTAAGCAAAATGAACATGGCTAACGTTAATGTTTTGACCAGTGTTCACTCCTCTGTTCAGCAAAAGTAGCCAATCAGCACAAAGACAAGCTTATTACAGTGGACATCATCACTCAACTCTTATGGGTCACTGTTCTGATGACACATTTTCACAGTGTATACATTCATAAGGAGTAAGTAGAAGAACATTTCTCTGCTGACTGCTTTATTGATGATCTCACTTTCCATAACTGGGGCGATGCATCATGTTGGGGTGGCGCTGGCTCTTGGCTAAGCCCCTAATCTTATCTATGTTAAGATATTAAATACAGTTGTATGCTTGAGCATCATTGGTGAAATGACATGATTTGTTGCTTTTCTAAATGAAAGTACACACATCCTCCACAGACAACACACTTAAATATGTAATTTGTCTGTGAATCTTAGTGCACAATTTCTATTTATTGGCTGAGTTTAGCATATTGAGAAAAAAATAAAACATAAATTGTTACTCATTCCTGTTTTCACTCCAGACTTTTATGAACAGACTGTATCCCTCATTCTCTTTTTAAATTCTCCCCTCATTTAGTCATCAGACAGAGTTAATGTACTGTATTACTTACAGGCACATTGTGTATTCAGTACATTAGCAGTACAAAGTGTTTGTGAAGCAAGTAACTTTGCCTTTGCATAAAACTCTGTATGAACAACAAATTATGCAGCCATTTACCAGATAAATAATGCAATTAGGTGAAACAGGATCTGAAAGGTTTTTAATATCCTGCTGTGTATGCTTCAGTCACCGATGGGCCAATAGCTGCTAAGTCTGTGATCACCAGTTTATTGTGTGTGTGAAGGGAGAAAACCCTGAGGCACTGAGACTTTATTAAGTCTATCTGCTGCATGGTCTCTTGCAGCTTATTGGCTATTGTTGGTGGCTCTTGTACTGGGTGGCTGAGCCTTGCTGGGGCATGCTGGAAACTTGTTTGCCCAGGATCCGTGAGGGCTCAGAGGCCAGCTGTGTGTACACCGGCTCACGACTGACCTGTTTGCATTGGGATTGAAGGAAAGGATGCGGCCCTAAATCCTGTGCGCAATATATGTTAAATCTGTGATACCTACAGCATGGAGAGCCGTTTACAATGTCTTAGGCGTTCTGAAATGAGACGAAAAAAAGGACCAGTTCATGAAATGATAACACTGGGCATGCAGTGTGAAAATAAAGACTCCTTAATCTTTTTCACTTGGATGTACAGATGTAGGAAAGACCTTTAAAGGGCTCATATCATTGAAAATAATTACTAGTGTTTTTAGTTTAAAGAGTTTAATATGCTAGATAAATATTGTTACAAAACACTCCCAGATCTGTACAACAAAAGCAAAACTGTTTCAAAATGATTGTTTTTGTGATGTCATGAAAACCATTTATTCAGCTGATAGCAGTTTAGCCCCTGCCCATTCACTCTGAGGAGGAGCATTTCAGCCTGCGCTAATTTTTGAATGAAACACAATATAGGCATCCTATCAGAATAGAGCTCATTTACATATCTCAGTCGTTATGGCACAGTACCATAACAGCCTGTTTAATTCTAAGGGTTAAAGAGTGGCTGGAAAACTGTCACATAAAAAATGTTGACTTTGGGGAAAAATAAAATATGAGAAAAATAAGTATGATATAAGCCTTATATTTGGAATAGAACCTTCATATTATGGATGTTCTTCAAACTTTTAAAAAGGTTCTTCACACTCACACATCTCATGTATAAAATGGTTCTTCAAAGAACCACAGGCTTATTAAGGAACCCAACGTGGTTGCGTAGTACTGTGAACTACTGATAAATCAAATTAATGTACTGATAAAACAATTTTTTTGTGGCGTTGAAAGGGGTCCAGGCACTGCTCTGTATGTGTCGTCTGAAGTTTGTCCCATGCCATGTGGGCGCATGTTCAGAAGCTCCCGTCCACCCTGAGCTGATCTGTTTGTCCATAGATAATGAGTCAGAGCCTCCACCCAAATCTGTGTGCAGAATGCAGAGGACAGTTAATTAGATCTGCATTAGCCACCATTGCTGAGCCAATCCCTTTACATGCTCTCCATTTACACTGTCCTTATCTGTGTTTACCTGAAGAATCCCTCACACAAAGCACCCACAAATGCTAACAGTATGTCCAGAACCTCTTGTTACTGTTACCACCATCCAACAGGTAGAGAATGAAAGAGAAGGTAGAGAAGGACAGAAATGAAATGCTACATGAAGTACATGTATGT